GGCCAGTGTGCGATACGGTCCGCGCCACACGGCAGCCGGGACGGGCCGAGCCTGAGGCACGGTCCCCTAGGAGCCCAGCACTGGGGTGACCGAGGCGCCGCTCCTAGTCACGTGGCGTGGGAGGGTCGTCGTCTCAGCCCGCCTGGCTCTCTGGTTGAGCCGGGAGGCAGCGCCCCCATCCCCGGCGTGGCTGGGGGCAGCGCCCTGCCACGGCCACCGAGGGACCCTGCTCCCCGAACAACAAATCTTGGGAGTTGCTCACATTCTAGTCAAGTGACTGGAAAGTGACAAATCCCACGCGGCTTTGCCTCCGACTCCCTGCACTAGTGAATGGCAGAGGCGCCCTCCAGGGTGAAGGCAGCTTTGTCCTCCCCCTGTTCAGCCTTCCACACGCCTCACCTAGCGGAAATGTCACTAGAATCCATCCCTAGCAGGTGGAGTGGTCTGTCTACAGCTCCCACATCTCTTCCTTTCTTTGAGAGACCCCCGAGGGAATAGTGCCGCTCCAGTACTAACGCTCACAGCCGTGCATGTCTGTGTTATTTTTCTTTGTGTCTAGACCCAAATGAAATGGCTTGGAAATAGGTGTCCATGTATTTGCTTGTTTACAAAAATAGCATTTTTTTTAACTTTCAGAAACTTTTCCTTGTTGTTGCTAAAAAAAAAAAAAAAAAAAAAAAAAAAAAAAAGCTCAGTTTTGCCACAGAAAATAAAATTGGATGAAAACTGAGAATTTGTCACAAATCTCAAGATGGGAGTCTGGGCCTTCAGGGATGTTCTGGGGAGAACAGGCAGGCTGTTTCTTAATTTCACGGAACTGTTAACCCTAGGAACTTTTATAATGTTCTTGTAAACATTATTTTTAAAAATTAAGGATGATAGAACCAGATTATCCACTATTTTGTATTGCAGAAATAAGGACAACAGTTCTACCAATTTATTATCTAGTCTGTTATTTGCTATCACTTTTATCACCATGCAAGAGCAGTTGTTAGAATTTGTGAGAGAGCTCAAATTAGGTTGATTACAAAGGTGAAGTCTTCATTGAATATATTTGTTATGGGTCTGCCAAAATGGTTTTAGCACTAATAGTGAGATACCTGACTTAAATAGTAGTTCTGATTACCATCTTTGCATTACCTCAAACAGGATTTTAGTGGATACTATCAAGAAAATTGGAACTAGAAACCAGTGCTATGCCACTTGAATGCCTAATGTCTGCACTTTCAATTGTTATAGAGTATTCTCTATCTTAAATAATTTCAGATATCAGATACTAATAATTGTAATGGAAGAAAAAATAAGATGATAATCAGAATTATTTAATATGAAGGTCTGATAGCTCAGCCTGCTGGTGCCAAAGATGAATGCTGTTTAACTTGGAAGGATGGAGACTCCCCACCAGTTTGGTATAGTCAAACTCTTTATTTTTAATTTTTCTTTTAGGTGGTCTGCAGACAAATCAGGCTGATAAGTTTGGATTTCCTTTCCCTTCTAAAGTAGTTAATAAAGTAATAAAAAGGAAAAAGAAAAAGGTATAAAAATGTGGGACATAAACTAAAATGAACAAGAGTTTGCATTTTAGAAGATAAATTGCTTGCACTGTATGTGTGTGTAAAAGTGGGTGTGAGATGCAAAAGGATTGAAACAATACTATAATATAGGGGTTTCAATCTCCTGACCTGTGGACTGTCCCTGGCCAGAGCAATTGTTCATTCAGCCCAGGAATGGGCTGGAAGAAAGAAAGGCTGTCTGTTAACATTCTCCAAGCCCTGCCCCTTCCTGCCACCATCCTGCCTTCTCCCTCCTAGCCACTCTGTCCCCTGAGGATGCAGCCTGGCATGGGGTGATAACAGCACTTGGTCTCTCCCCTATTACTCACTCTCTGTGGCAGAAGTAGCTGTGGGGAAGTGGGGTGCACTTGGCAGACACTCACACCACTTCCCTGTGGTTCCTTATGTTGCAGGAAATGCAGGGGGGGCTGAAGGCTGCTGCTACTGTGCACCTGATGATCCCCAAAGTTGCAACCTCAGAAACTGGGATCCATGGGCGAAGGGAGCGGGGCAGTGGTGAGAAGGGGATGGACTTAGGGAATGGTAACAGATATCCCTCTACCAGCCTGACTCATGGGCTGGATTGTGCAGTTGCTGCAACTGGAGATGGTCTATAGGCCATGAGTTTGAGACCCCTGCTCTACTGTGATAGGAAACTTCACCTATAGGAATGAAAAATAGCGCTATCCTCACTAGAGATTTAATAGTGTAGTCGATTAACCGATAAGCAAAAGCTCTCCCCCTCTCCCTGCCAGTAAATTTTTCAGCAGCCTGACTCAGTCCTGGCTTGCGGCGGGTCTGGGACCTACCCCTGCTGCGGCTCTGCATTTAAAGTGTTTTAAGAGCTGAGCGGGCAGGCAACCCAGCTCAGTACTGGCTAGGTTTGGGACCTACGTCTGTTTCAGCTCTGCATTTCAAGTGCATTAAGAGCCAGCCAGGCGGGCAGTCCAGCTCAGTTCCGACTCGCACCAGGTCCAGGAGCTCAGATGCCCTCTAGACGGGGACTGCTGCTACCCCGGGCTGCTGCCTCTTTCTCAGAAGCAGCAGCACAAGGTGACAGGCAGCTGGTCCGTGAGGGGAGCTGGCTTTTAAACTGGCTCCCCTCACAGACCAGCTCCCACCTGGCACCTAACACTGCTGCGTGTGATACAGTGGTTGCCAGCCCTGCTCCTAGGGACTATAGAATAGTCAACTAACCGATAAAATTTCATGAGGTTACTCAACTATTCAATTAACCAATATTTTAACATCCCTAATCTTCACTAGGAATGTTAAATTTAGTTTAATCAACTAATCAAATAGTTGATGGAATTTTCATCGACTAGTTGATTAATCGATAAGCAGGGAAGCCACAGCAGGGTTAGCTCCTATCCCTGTGCACTAACCTCGCTGCAGCTTTGCCTTTTAAATGTATTAAGAGCCAACAGGTTCTTAATGGCTGTCTCTACACTGGGCCACTTATTCCGGAAAATCAGCCGCTTTTCCGGAATAAGCTGCGAGCTGTCTACACTGGCCCTTGAATTTCCGGAATAGCAACGATGCTCTACTGTACAAAATCAGCCGCTATTCCGGAAAAACTATTCTGCTCCTGCTTGGGCATAAGTCCTTATTCTGGAACACTGTTCTGGAAAAGGGCCAGTGTAGACAGCCCAGTAGTCTTTTCCGGAAAAAAGCCCCGATCGCGAAAATGGCAGTCGGGGCTCTTTTCCGGAAAAGCGCGTCTACATTGGCCACAGACACTTTTCCGGAAAAGCAGCCTGCCAATGTAGACGCTCCTTTCCTGGGAAAACTGAAAACGGAATAGTATTCCGTTTTAAGCAGTTCCGGAAATTCATGCCAGTGTAGACATAGCCAATATGTTTACAAAGCTGAAGTGCAGTGTGGGGGACCTGGTGCGAGCCAGAACAGCTGATTCCCAGCACGCACCAGGTCCCCCTGCTGCGCACAAGCCTTCTAAATATTTTTAAAAGGCTGGTGTGCAGCCTTAGGGACCCGGTGCGAGCCAGGACATCTGATTCCTGGCTTACACCAGGTCCCCCCATCTGCACACCAGCCTTTTAAATGTATTAAGAGCCTCCTGGCTCTTAATACATTTTAAAAAGCTAAAGTGCAGCATGGGGGACCCTGCGTAAGCTGGAACAGCTCATGCTGGTTCCCTCCCACTGTGCTTCTGCTTTTAAATGTATTAAGAGCTGACAACCTCTTAATACATTTAAAAAGCAGAAGTGCAGCATCTGAGACTGGGCACGACCCAGGAATCAACCGATTCGTGGATGGCGCCTGGTCCCCACGACCCTTCTGCCTCCCTTGCTCCCCCGCGGAGACAGAACTGGCGGAACCGGCTTTTAAGCCAGCTCCCCCCAGCACCGGCTCCTGCTCCTTCCCCCACTGCTTATAATAGAGGCAGTGGGAGGGGGAGAGGGAAAGAAGCGACTAGTCAAGGGACTAGTTGACTATCCAGTAAGCTTATGCTTATTGGATAGTCGACTAATCACTTACATCTCTAATCTTCACCCTTTTGGCATTTGAACCTGCAAGATCTGAGAATTCTGGCCACAGTCCAGCAATGGACTTCAGCATGTGCTTAACTTGAACCAGTGTTTCATTTGATTTAAAGCACATGCTCAAATGCTTACCTGGATCAGGGTCAGAATGCTACACACCTTGCTTGATCTAACCCATAAGGGCCAAATTTTGTCCCTATATTTTAGATAGTGAGTTTGCTTAGGGAATGGATAAGTGAAAGCAACATTTAGCTATTAATATACAGGTATATACATATATACACACACATTCATAGAAATACAAAATTACATTCTGTGTCAAATGTACTTTTGGTACTGTTGAGTAGTTCACCATACTTGGAATTAAAAAGACACTTTTTAAAATGGTAACTCCGTATGAGATCGTTCGTATGTGAGATACAAGTAACTGGCTAGAATATAATACAGTAACATACATGATTTTAAAAGGGACGGGGAATCTTTGGCCTGTGGGCCAGTTCTGGCCTTCTGCTTAGATTGATCTGGCCTGTGGCAAGACTCTGCAGCAGGCTGGAAGTCCTGAGCTTCAGCTACCCCCATGGGATTGGCGCGCCATAATAGGGTAAGCCCCAGCACCCCAAGTTGAGTGTGATTGAGGTGTTGAGTTTTTTGTTTGTTTTGTGTTTGACTTGTGTGTTGCCCCCAGCTGATTTTTCGGTGGGTCAATGGCCCCTAACCGAAAAAAGGTTCCCCACTATTCATTTAAAACGAGAAAACAACTGACTTCAGAGGAGCAGCTAGTATGTGCTACACTGACTCTTCTAGTTCATTAGTCTCCAGAAAGAACAATATTACATTGGAGCACTAAAGTTTGATGAAGAAGGAATTATCATTAGATTTAATTTTAAAAAGCTTTACTCTAGATATTTTTTGATGTGTTAACATATCTGAAATGGTTAGTACTTCAGTATTGTTGTTATGCCAGTTTGAAATGTGCCAGTTATAAGGGTGTGTTGTACCTTTTTCAAATGAAGGTCAGTAGATAACAAAGTACTGTAATTAATAATGATATATCAGAACAGGTCAGGTTGTTGCAGTGTTGGAATCTTAGTGCTAGGTCTAAATTGTACTGCAAGCAAGGGACTAGAAAAGAATGTGCTTGACTTCTGGGATGGGGTAAGATCATCTTGCATCTCTTTTCTGTATCCCCCCTCTGACTGATCCTTAAAAGACTTTAATGGTTCCACAGAGAGCCACATCCAGTTCTCCTCCTCTTTTAGAATAGGATCACAGATGCTGGGTAATGAGAAATCCAGGGGAGAAAGAGTGAATTAAAAATACGGAGGAATAATCCAACACTTATCTTACGCTTGTAAAATAAATGTGGTTTATGTACACATAGCTGATTACTAAAGTTGCAAACAAGAAGCAGATTGACTCCACTTGGATGTTCAATCCTGGAAAATTCAGAATCCTATTAAAAGAAGATTTTAAAAATAAACTTTCTGACACTTTACAGAGAATGTTCTTTCTTTATTTTTAGTCTGAAATCTTTCATGGAGTGTTGAAAGTAATTTCAAAAATGCTTGAAGAAAATGAAAAGTTTAGAGGCAGACTGTTGACTTGCAGTCCATTTAATGTTGAAGGTAGGTAATGAACCAATAACATTTTATTACATTAGAGAATACAAATAGGTTGTTAATACATATGCATTGACTTAAGCGCTCCAGGTTTGAAGTCAATTAAGTTGTTATTTTTGGATCATGTGCTTTCACAACTCAAAAATTATTAATTATATTGCATACGAGCCATTGCTATCTGTGTTTTAACTGCCTTCTGGTGTGCATAAATGGAAAGGGATGGTGGCAGTAGCTCTTTACTACACTGTACAACATGGAAAACATAAATGTAAAAGCAAGTGGAATATGTTCCCTTTTCTGACCTTGTAATAGAAATAGGGTTGCCAGGCATCCAGTATTTGTGGGCTCCGTCTGGTAAAAAAAAAAAAAAAAAACCAGGAAATACCAGACATGTGAAATGTCCGGTATTTCCTGTTTCCCTCGGACAGAAGCCCGGCAGGGACAATTTTTCCCTCCTGCATCTGGCGGGAGGGGAGTGAGGAGTGCAGAAGAGTCGTAGTGAAGGGGGGAAGGAAAGGGCACTTGCTAGGCGCCACGCTAAGGGGGCGCTGAGCTGGGGTGGGAGTGGAGCGCACACTGCTCTGGCTCACGTGACCAACAGAGACCCAGAAGCTGGCAATGTGATGCCTCCCTCAACACCAGCCGTGGTCAACCCTCACAAGCCGCATGTGGCCCTTGCCCCCCAAAAGTGCAGCTCATAAAGCCACTCCTGCGCCCCTCCCCAACAACCCCCGCCAGCTCCCCTCCCCTTAACAACTATGCTTTTTTTCCCCTTAACAACTTTGGTCTCCCCCCCTTTTTTTTCCTTGGCAGAATTTTTTCCAGGGTTTTTTCTTTTTCTTTTTTTTTTTTTTTTTTGGTGTGTGTAGTAGGGGTGGTCAGTATTTTTTGTTAAACCATCTGGCAACCCTAAATAGAAATTATTGTAATGTAATGAAATATGTAATGAAATTATTGTTCATAGATGCCTATGCAATAAGGGAAATATTTGAAGATTAGATTTTTTCAGCTAATATATAAAATCAGAAATAGTTTGACTTCATGCAAGTCATAAATAAATTAGTGCCCACAAATGTGAATTGGAACCTAATTTAACATAACTAACTAAATTCATCCTCTAGTTATGGCCTGACTGAAGCTATTTCATTACTGGAAAATGACTCAGGAATTAAAGCTGACACACTGAATAGATGCAACTTCAATTAGAGTTGTTGTGGTTGCTACTATAATTTAAAGCAATATAGTATATGCTTACAAACATAATGGGACGTTCTGGCTTGGCAGTTTGATTAGTCTTAGAAAAGAGAATTTTCCAATCCATTAAATGTTATCAGTTAAATTAAAAGTGGCACATTCTCTCAATGTGTCTGCTTTGTTCACATTAGTTTTAGTTTTTCTCATGCTATAAGGACAGGTTATATCCCAAAATAGTTGTAAGCTGTTGTTAGTGGCTTCCGTTAGTAAGCCTTTGCATATTTTGTCTACATGAATTTTATACATACATGATTCTAAAAAGCTTCCATAAGACTGTACCCAGTGAAAAATGATGCCTTAACATTTATGTGGTGCTAGACTTATTGAGGTGTATGCTTACTTGTTTGCATTAATGTAATGTAGACAATAAATATATAACCGTGGCACTGTATTTGTTTTATGCCCACATTTATTCTTCTTTTCAAACATATGCAAGTTGGCATTGAATATGGGAGCCCCACAGAGGTCAGGTGTAGAATCCTTTTTCCAGGCTTTTACATTCCCTTAATGTGAAAGGAGCTTTGGGCTGGAAGATCTTAATTATTGTATCACTGGCCATGTCTATGACCTCTCCACAATCCTCTTCTGTAGACTTGTCATGGAAGCCAATGCAAAGATGGGCTTCTCAGCAGCTGAAAGCAGTGGACCCCGTACATAGTTCCCCCCCTTGTTCCTCTTTGCATGCCTGAATCATTGCAGTTGTTCACTTGCACAGCCCTTATTTGGACCATACGATTTGGTACTTACACAAGAAAAATAATTTCTCTAGTTTATTTTTGTAAAGACATCTTGGGCTACGTCTACATTGCTCAGTCTTGCACAAGAACATATGCAAATGAGGTGCAGCGATGAACATCGCTGCACCTCATTTGCATACTTAATGAGCCGCCATTTTGCGCAAAAAAACCCCTCTTGCGCAAGAGCTGTTCTGAAAATAAGCGGCAGAATGGCTTTTGTGTAAGAGGAGGTTTTTGCACAAGGAGCAGTGTAGATTGCTCCTTCTTGCGCAAAAATGGTGTCTCGTTAAGTATGCAAATTGTTATGTCATTTGCATAGGTTCTTGCGGAAGACTGGGCAGTGTAGACGTAGCCCTTATGTACCTAGGGAGAAGGAGAACTGGAGCATGTAGCAGAACTTTGGGAGGCAAATAATGTGTTAGAGAAAGATCCAAGACAATTTCCTCAAGTTCTGACAACAAACCAGAGAGCTCTATTATTGTTTGGGAGACGTTCTCTTGTTGGTCTTAGAGCCTTTTAAAATTATGGCTGCTAATTAAATTTTCCATTTGGTTTGAGCTTCTGCTTTCCCAGGAGGCTTGTGTTTATTTCTGGAATGAATGGACATAGACTGTTTACATCTTACCTGTGCTTACAGATGCCTGTTTCTTTTATCTTCAAGAGTTAGATAACATAATTGATCTGTAGATATAATTTGTGTCCACTGAAACAAACTTTATACTATCCTCAGGTCTAATTGCAGTTCATTTTTCTTGAACTTTAGAATGTGAGTCTCATGATAAGCCATAGTTAGCTGAAATTCCTTAATCCCAATACCTCCTTTTTAATTAGCAGATTTTGCTCAATATTGTCTCAAGGTGATAAGTCTCTTATTAATCTCAATTTTCCATTAAAAAATAGCAAAAATAAATTGAAATAACAAGTCTGAATCAAGTAGCTTCAATTTTGCTTTATAATTTTTTTAAACTAAATTGATACAGCAAATAAATCTTGCATTTTATTATCTCTGTGGATAGTTTTTTTGAAAGATGAAAATCTGTTGCAGTTTTAATGTTACTTATTTCTTCAGTATAATACTAGTAATAAAAATCAAATACAGTACAAATAAAAATTATGTTGTTGTACCCATATATTGTATACTTCCATAGGCAGTGATGGAAAGCTCACAGAATGAGGCTTCCTGCATGGACATAATAAGTAGTCAGTCAAATGGCAAAATAAGCTTTTAATAAAATGAAAAAATATTTGCAAAATATATCGTTAAAAGATATGAAAGGGTAACATTTTTTATAAAAGATTGTAGTTCATTAAATATAAAGCTCAAATATGGCTTTTAAGAGTCTCTAAACTATGCTTGGGAACAGGAGAAGGAACATCAGCCAGGCTGGGATGCAAATCTTATTATATCTTTGATGCCTGATTCATTTCTGCCAGTGTGTGTGGGTGGCAATGGCTGTGACCCATTCTTCTCAAACCCCCTCTGGGACTACTAGGCTGCTGTTAGTGCTGGCAGCCTCTCAGCTCTCTTATGCTGTTTATAGATGCCCCTGTGCATGAACATGGGAAAAAGTTTCATTGTGCTCTTTCTCCTTTAATGCACTGATAAAGAGCTAGCTATATAATACATATGGATCTTTGTACTTTTAAGTATCTGCTGAAGCACATATTTGTAAATATATAATTGAAGCACTGAAACCGGAATTGTACACAGTTTGGAATTATTTTATTTTACACGTTTAGGCTCACTAGGAGCACGTCTACACTACAGTATTTTGAAATAACAAGGTGAGCATCTACATAGCAAGCCCATTTTTTCAAAACAATTTTGAAATAGCGGGCTTCTTATTCCGAAATAATAAATTCTAATTTCATGAAGAATAATGCCTGTTTTGAAATAGTTATTCTGAAATAGGGTGTGCTTAGATGGCGCAGCTGTGGTTACTTCTTACAGCTGTCCTGATGACCATTCTGTCCACACCCATCAGAACTCAATAGTTCTTTAAAGCTGCAGCCACAGGAGAAGCTATTTATGGCACAAAGCAGGCCCTGCTAGCACCGAGCCACACAGCAGTGCCTGCCTGTGTGCCCTGCAGTGGTTGCTTGAGTGGCAAAAGCGCAGGTTGGATGGTGACCTGGAGCTGCACCACACCACCTGGCAGGAGCTGTCGCAGCAGGCACAGAGCATGTGTGTGGCATACACTGCCACCCTCAACTGCCTGGTGGCCACCATTGAGCGGTCTACCAACCGACCCCCCGCTCCTGCTGCTCCTGCTCCTCCCCTTAGTCCCTCTCTGTGGCTGCTGAGGGCCCTGGAAATGAGGTGGTGGGACCACCCAAGGCAGGTGTCAGTTACAGCCCCATCCCTAAACCTCTCTTCCCTCTTCCTCTCCCCTCCAAGGTTCTTTCAGTCCCTCCCAAGTTATATTTACCCAGATTATTAAAAAACAGTTTATTCTTTTAAAACAAAAAGTGTGGTTTATTGTGTCTGCAGGGGAGGGGAGGGGGAAGAAGGTGGAAAGGGAAGGAATGGGAAGAGAGCGGTGGGAGAGGAAAGGCACAGAGGGGCAAGGGAGAGGCCCTTTGTGGGAAGACCCAGGGGAGAGTGTCACAGGTGTCCTTGTCTAAAACTCCCTCAGGACCTCCTGGATGCGCACAGTCCCCTGATGAACGTGCCAGATGGCAGCAGTGCGCAGCTGCTCAAAGGCCTTGCGAGCTGCTTAGCCTCTGCCCCCAACCCTGGCAGGAACATCTCCCCCTTGTTCTCGCACAGGTTGTGCATGACACAGCAGGCCAACACCACCTGGGGTATGTTCCACTTGCTGAGGTCCTGTCAGGTGAGGAGGCAGCAGAACCTCCCCTTCAAACAGCCAAAAGCGCCCTTCACCATGATGTGGGTCCTGCTGAGCCTGCCATTGAAATGTTTCTTGGTGGGGTCCAGGTGTCCTGTGTAGGGCTCCATCAGCCAGGGGATCAAAGGAGAGGCTGCGACCCTTATGATGCAGATGGGCACATCCACATCCCCAACCCTGATGGTATGATCAGGGGAAAAAACTGCAGTTGTGTATCCTCTGGAAGAGGCTGGAGTTGTGGAATATGCAGGCATCATGTGCCTTCCCCAATCACCCAACGTTGGTGTTGGTGAACTGGCATCGGTGGTCCCTTCCGGTTGCTGTAATCAGAGGGCTGGTGGTTGGGGGCCTGGACGTGGGTGTGGGTGCCATCGGAGCCCCCCTGAAGTTGGGGAATCCCGTGTCGGCAAAGCCAGAGACAGCGAGGTCCGTGTTGCCCAGGATGACAACACTGTGTTGATGGCTCTCACCACCTGTAGAAGGATACAAGCAGAATCACAGGGTTGCCAGAGCCCTCGGGAATTCCACAAGCGCAACCTCCTTCCCACACCAGTCCCAATTTACCCCATCCCTGGCAGAGCTTTGTGAAGGCAGGACTGCAAAACCTCTATAGAGATTGCCTCCCTTCCCTTGGGTACCCCATTCCAGTAGTTCACCCTACTAGGACAATAGCCAGAGAGTCATACCTGCATGAGCATGGCCCTGACGGTCGATCTCCCCATGCCGAATTGGTTCCCAACCGAGTGGTAGCTGTCTGGTGTGGTTAGCTTCCAAAGTGCGATGGTGACCCGCTTATGGAGGGGGATAGTGAGTCTCATATAGGTGTCCTGTCACTGGAGGGCAGGGGCGAGCCACTCGCACAGCTCCAGGAAGGTATCCTCCTGCATGTGGAAGTTCTAGAGCCACTGCTGGTTGTCCCACCACTCCATGTCAATCTGGTTCCACCACTCAGAACTGGTGTCCTGTCACCAGAAGCGATGCTGCACAGTGTGCAAGGGAGGTTGGGAAGGGTTGCGCAAGAGATGAAGAGGAGCCCTGCAGTGAGTTGCAGGTCTTGTTCCTGTTGCATAAAGCCTCTGCCCGAGCTATTACTTGATTTTACACATGGATTTTCTGCAAGCTCATGACTTAGAGACTGACAAAAACCTCTTGCTGACTGCATTGCTCGGGGGGAGGGCAGTTGTCTCCTAAATCACTTCATTACTGATTATTTGTAAATGATTCTCTGAAGCTTTGTAATTGTTTCAGCTGCATTGCCTTTTAAATTCTGCAACACGTTATATAATCTTTCTTAAATTTTGCTTTATACGTTCAGAAATTTACTGTAAGCTTGGCGATTGTTTAACCTTGCACCTTTGTAATATTTGTAACTCTCAGCCACTTTGCTTGTAACTTGCTCAAAACTGCATTTTCCCCTGAGATATGACTGTGTGTGTGTGTGTGAGAGTGGAGACTATTGTGTGTTTGGGATTAGAAACTGCAAAGCTGAGCACATGGAAACCAGGTGATGAGTCATCAGACAAATTAAGGAGACAAGGCTGCTCTGCTGGATCAAGGGAAGTATGCCTGTGCTCCCTGGTGAGGAATGTGGATGAGTCACAGGAGTTGTACAGAGGCAATAAAAGGAAAGAGCATGTGGCAGAAGCCCGCTCTTTCGGAGAAGCTCCTCTTTCTGCAGCCAGAGCGCTCTTTCTCTTTTCTGACCAGCTCCCCAGCCACGAGTCAGGTGCAAAATGCCTTGGCTCCTTCTGCAACCCATATGCCTGTGTAAGTGTCTGAGGGCAGGAATAAAGAGAGAGAGGATGAGAGCTGGTTCCCCTTTAGTTTAAACCTTTAGTGGCAACTCTATCCTCTTTAGTTTAACTATATAGTAGAGTGTTAATTCCTCAATCAGTAAATCTATATTAGTGTAACCCTGGGTAGTCTCCAGTGAGAATGTTGTGGGTAACAGTTCCTGCAGTGCCACATGGGCGGTCTGCAGTAACTGCACCTGGGGTGCGTCATGAGGCCTAAGAGCCTGAAAGTGCTTTGCAGCAGGTCTGGCTCCATGGCTTGAGTGCTGTGGCATCTGCAAGGGCAACCAGAGCATGCAGTGGGAAGAGTTTGCTGTCCCTCGAGGAGGTAGGCAAAGGTGAAGAACCTGAGGAATGGCTGTACATGGGGGTCCCTTAAGCAATGAGTGTCAGAGAGCCTCAGTCAGCAGCTCCAGGGAGTAGGGTTGTCAGGTGTCCGGTATTTTCGCCTCCTGTCCGGTAAAAAAAAATCAGAGAATACCGGACACCTGAGCTGTCCCATATTTTCTGATTTTTTTTCCCAGCCAGGAGATGAAAATGCCAGGCACCTGGCAACCCTACAAACACTCAGCACCCGGCCTTCTCCCCCTCAAGGTCTCCCCGGTTCCCAACACCCTCAGACTCCCAACCCCAGCCCCCATGCTTACCTGGTTCCCCAAGACTGCTGGCACAAAATGGCTGTTAGCCAAAAGACCTAGGAAAAGCAATGGTTTCCCCTGGGTCTTAGTGCTCACCTTTGCCCCTGTTCCTATCCCTGCACTCACTCTTAATTTTTGGGGGAGGGGGGGCTTAAAAAGTCCTTGGAAGGTTTTTTTTTTAAGGTCAACAACTTTGGTCTCCCCCTCCCCCTTTTTTTCCCCCTTCAACAGAGTTTTTTCCCGGTGGTTTTTATTTTGGGGGTGGGGGTGGGGTGTTCGGTATTTTTGTTTCAACCATCTGGCAACCCTACCAGGAAGTGATTGCTGTCCTGATGTCCCGCCAAAACTGCTTCCAGGGGCCTCTGAATGTGATTCAGCCTCCAATCTGTGGATGCACTATTTTGGTCTAGATCTGTGCTATTTCAGTGAGCATTTGTAGTGTGGATGCACTATTTAGAAATAGCTATTTCAGGAGGTGTTATTCCGAATAGCTTATTTCAAAATAAGATCATTGTGTATATGTGCCCTTGTATACTGATAATGTGAGATGCCCCTTCAAGGAGTTATTGGATATATAAATATGAAAGTTAAATAGTCTCAAATATGTACTATCAGTATTTCGAATAACATACCTGCAGTGTCATATAAAGATATTTGTTTCAGTTAAGATGGTCGTGGCATCAGTTAAATAGATATAATTCTAAACACAGTGAACTAGACTGTTGGGCTGATCTAGCTCTGCATAGAGCAGGATCTGATTGTAGAGGGTGCATAATGAGTTTATCCATATCACTGCACCCCTCTGATAATTCAATCTTGGGAATGCTCCGAGGTCAGTTTGCCCATGCTGCAACTTTAAGCACCCTCAGAGTTCTAATTTGCATGTGTTTGTAATAGCTTCAAGTAGGGGTGACAGTTTTGCTGAATTTTTGGTGGTCCAGAGCCTGCCCCCCGTCCACACTCAAACTCCTTGCCCTGCCTGCCTACGGCTCCGGGAGGGAGTTTGGGTGGGGAAGAATGTGGGCTGTGGGACAGAGGTTGGGCGTTGGGCACAGGCTTTGGCCTGGGGCAGTGGATTGGAGTGCAGGAGAGGATGCAGGAGGGATGAGAGATTGGGCCCTGGGAGAGAGTTTGGGTGCTGAGCAATGTCCCTCGAGGGCCGGCTGTGCAGTAGCACAGCTTCACAAGTGATTAATCAGTCCCACCCAGTCCAGAGGCTCAGGGCTCCCTGTTGTGCTGCCACACAGCTTAGAGGGAACACTGCTGAGTGCAGGCTCTGGCCTGGGGAAGGGGGTGGAAGTGCAGTCTTTGGGAGGTAATTTGGAAGCAGGAGGGGATCTGCAGTGCAGGCTCTAGTATGGAGTCTGAGTGCTGGATCTGAGCTGGAGTGGGTGACTGGGAGCAGGAGAGGATGAGGGGTTAGCTCTGGGAGGGAGTTTGGGAATGGAAGGGGATGTGGGGGAGAGGGTGCAGGCTCTGGGAGGTGTGAGATGAGGTGTCAGGGAGGGGATAGTGCTTCCATGCTTACCTGGGGCACCCCTCTCGGCAAGAGTTCCTGGGGGCGGTGTTTCCATGCACGGCTGCCTGTCTGCTGCCCATGTGCATGTCCCCTGCCCCCACCTGCTGCCCGCATGAACTTCCTCCACCTGCACATCCCCCATCCTGCCTGAAGCCCACCAGGGTTTGCAGGGACACACATGGTAGCAACTGCACTGAGTAAGTGTCTAGATGCTGTTCTAGCCCAACTGCACTGTTGGTGATATTGGTGGGGGCCCTTGGGCCATTTTAAATCGCCTGGAGGCAGCAGGTACACTGGGGAATACATAGGGGAGGATTGCATGGGGGGGCAGCATGCAGGCAGGGGGAGAGACCTGACCCCATGTTTTGGTAGAGCAGGGCCCAGGCCAGGAATATTCCTGGTGATTGGGCACAGGTAACTTGCTGCCTTCAAGGGGCCATTCTAGTTGCCTGTGATTACAGGAGCACAGCAGCACTCTGGCTATGCTGTTTCTCCAAACAGAATCCTTAGTCTGGGGCTGTGAAAGAGTGAAGTATAGGGACAACTATGCTAGTTACACAACACCAGAGGATTTTAATACCTTGGAGATCTCAGCAGGCCACTTAAACCATCTTTAAATCTGCTTTGCAAAGGATACTCAATGGGAATAGGAATGTGATAAGTTTCTTTATTGAACTGTAGCATTTTTAGAATTCTCAAATGTAAATGGAAGGAACGTGAATAAAGCCTTTATCTTTTGTCATGTACTATATCACTGATATAACAGTTGCATGTATTTTTATGTTAAAAGAAATTGCTTTATGATGTCACCTCTTTTTCTTTAGGATGAGTCTGTCTTTGGATGGATGTAGCAAAGAAGTTAATGAAGATTCAGTTTCGAGTGTTGCATTGAATTAGTTTCGTTTTAGACCTTATCTAACAACCATCTGATACTAATGAGAAAGCTAACAATGATTTTCAGTGAGCATTGAGTCAGAGTCTATATAGTTTGTCTAGCATTTTCACTTGAGAGCTACATTTTAATATGGCTTTATTAAACTTTTCAGTGAGAATACTGTTTTATTGAAATTTTATTAAGCATTGGTCATAGTTAATTTTGAAGGCTTTTTAATGATGATGGTTTGTATTCAAAAGAATAATATTTTGTGTTAATTATATTATAAATATATAAGTTGTACAATCAGCAGCTTGTCAGAATTGTTAACAAATGTGAGTTTAATACAATAAAATTTCATACAAGATGTCTCTCTAAAATGAATGAACCACTTTCATTCTGTTGATTTTAATATTTTTTATTTTATTAAATTTAAATAGTGTACAACCAACCTTCTGTTCATTCATCCATTGACACAAGAATCTTCGCAGTTATTTCAAATAAGAATCCAAATGAATCCTCTCTGCCTGATCATTCATCATCAGGCACATAATAGTAGTTTCAAAATGTATTTATTTGGGTTCCCTCAATTGTAACATGGCATGATTTTCTTGTGTTATGGAAGCTTACAGTTGGAGTTTTGATTGACTGAAGTATTTTTAACTGGTGGTTTGTGTAAATGGAACAAAGAAATCACAAAAATAATTTTTCTGTATGTGCATTCTTAAACCTTTCTTGTTCTTATGAAAGAGCTGTTATTCATTTCAAAACGTCTCAGCATTTGCAGATATAATGACTAGAATTTCAGTAGTGTTGAGCTTTAATAACATGCTAGTGGCTGTGTCATCAAGCAGCAAAGCACTTGGGAGGGTTTAAATTCAGTTTTCCTAATGATAAACTGCAAGTAAATAACTAGACTATACCTTTTTGATTGAGTACTCTGGCATTAAAGTTCTCACTATGAACAGTGATTTGTTGTAGAATAATATTTTAATGTTACTCAAAATAGTTGACATTTCAGCATGGGGCAAGAAAAATATTCAGATAAGCGCATGCTCATTTTTTCAGGAAGAGTAAAAATTTGTAAGTCCCTTGATATTTACTTAATACACAATGTTGTAGCTTTGTTGATCCCAGGATATTAGAGAAACAAGCTTGGTGCAGTAATACCTTTTATTGAACCAACTTCTGTTAGTGAGAGAGGCACGCTTTTGAGCTTTCACAGACCTTGAAAGCTTGCCTCTCTCACCAACAGAAGTTGGTCCAATAAAAGATACTACTAGCATATCTTGTCTCTTTATTTGCTTAATAGGGCCAGATATTTTTATTGTTTATGAGTTGTTCACTCTATTTCTGCAGTTCTGATCATATGAAAAGCTGTATGAAGCTTCTTAAATATACATTAAATCCAAGGTTGTGAGCTCTATAGTTGATGTTATTTCTGAGTAAACTGCCCCTACAGACAGCATCCTTAGTGGCACAGCCTAAATAGCCATGGAGATTAAACCTCTCTCTAACCTTTATGATTGGTCCTTCTTGAGGAGATGAGAAATACTTTACCCTGGCAATGTGAAGGAAGAATGCCCATGCTGTTCATGTTCTTTGGATAAAATATATAGGCTTCCCTCTCCAGAGCTATGCTAAATTTAGTTTAAAAGGAGACAAAATTACACTACATAACAATGGGCCAGATTCTTCAGTAGTTCCGACATTCATGTATACCTGCCTAAAGTGGGTGTAAATATCTGCTGCTGTTATTTGGTAATGTTACCTCCATAGTGCACATGTGCCAGAAAAAGTCATTTACACACATGTCAGTGCAAGGATGAGAGAAGATCATTTGAACTTGCCCTATTCAGGGGCTGTTGGGGTGAGCTAGTTGAACACTCGGTATTCTATTGCAGTTTTAGTGTGGCTTGTTTGGATCTTTACAGGGATTCTAAACAGCTTGGGTTCAGGTTGGCCAGGGCCACTCCCATCTCTGATCCCCCTCTTTCTTTTCTCTGGCATGCCTGTGCCCTGCCTCCACTTCACTCCCAGATCACTTCAGAATGCCCTCTATACCCAGGGGTGAAGGTAGGTATAGCATGCCCTTGCACTGAGCATATTCTCTGGGGCACTTAATGCTTTGTTTTACAGTCCCTTTATGTCAGTTTCACTAGTACATAGGGATTGCATAGTAATGCTGAATAGCACCCACTATCTGAGTAGTAATGAAGTCTGGCTTCTGACAATAGAGGCCTGATTACAAATACACGGGTGTGAACAACAAGTAATTCTGCTTACGTCAAAGGAGTTAAACTTCTGAAAAACAAATCTGAAAAAAGAATCAGCTCCACTATGTAGACCCTATGCAAACTGCAATCCACACTATGAACATTATTAACTCAAACACTTACAGTATTCCAGTTACAGTATTTTATGTTTCTTAATTTGAAGTACTAAAGGAAAACTGTAGATAAGAGAATGTGAATTGTGTTGAATAATAACATACCCATGTGAATGAGGCAAGTGACATCTTGAGCAAGAAAAAAGAATTGCTATCCACAAGAAATAAATTATTTTAAAATGCATTTATTAAAAGGAACAAGGAATAAACAGTGAAATCTCAGGTCTGCACATCATATATGTCAGCCTTTAGAAATCAAATGTCATTCCCCGATATCCTTTAACAATTACCTGAGAAAAGAGAATAAAATACTATATAATCTTGTTGTTTTTCATAGGAATAGTATTTTTCAGTTTTATTTTCAAAGTACAAGTCAGTTAATTTGAGTTTTTAATAAATCTAGGTTGGGGTGTGTGCAGTACAAGACAATATATTAAATTATGGGTAATTATCCATACTTTGTATTGAGAAGCCTGATGCATTGTAAAAGTTAGCAGTTTGTCCTAAGGTGGTATAATTCAGGTATTGGTCTGAGCAGGTACTCTTTTACATTCAGTTTACACTAGGGCAAATGATACAGTACAATAGTTACAGAGCAATGAATCAAGTTAATGGTATGTGTGCGCTCTGGTTACCAGAGTCAGTAATATTCCTCTGCACTTCCATACAGGATCCTATAACCTGAAATCCACTTAGGACATTAATACTTAGCCATAATGATTTTAAATAAAAATTAAAAATGCAGAAGCATTCAGCTGTTATAGGATTTTGAGCAGACTTTAGGACTGTGAGCAGACCTTGCAATGTTCAATTAGGAAAAAAAATCATAATCAGCTATATTGGACATTAATATACAGTGAATTATGCATTTAGGGAAACCTATAGGAAACCTGCCTGTTTTAACTTCTAAGCATAGCCTCAAGGCTTTCAATACATGTTGCATGACCTCTAATTGAAGAATGACCCTTAGCGGGCAATTGAGTTTTGCTGCTCCTTTGGGACGTGACTTAAAACTGATTTTGCGGTGTATGTCATTTTTTGTGTATAGGTACAATAGGTCTTTTAAGTATGAAAGAAAACAGAATTCCACTATTTATAGTTCTTATATATATATTTGCAATGACATAAGCAACTGTGTATTTTGGCTAGTTGTGTGATTGTATAATCTAACTAGTTGCAAGACAGCAGAGCCTCAGTTTGCTGAGCAGAATAGGTTTTGCACCAAAGCATAGTAGCAAATAAAACTATTTTTAAATAGAAGCTTATATCCTGGGAAAAAAATCTCTGAAGAGCATTAAAGCCAGCAAGATTTTTCCATAAATGCTTACTAAGCAGCTGGTGACAGTGTCATGGTGATTAGATCTGATGAAAAAACTTAAAAAACAACAAATAGTCCTGCAGCACTGCAGGGACTAACAACAAATGTAGACAGTATCATGAGCTTTTGTGGGCATAACCCACTTCTTCATTTGCAGGACTATTCATTGTTTTTAAAGTTTTTTTCAGTTACAGACTAATGGCTACCCCTCTGAAAGATCTGATGAAGACAATACATGTATGACAGGTTTACTGCTTAAATTATAGCCGGTAAAAATCAATACATGTGTTTACATTTTCATTTGGCACTGGCAAAAGATAAGGTAACCTGTGAGGAAAAGGGAATTATTATGCCTTGTTCGTGAGATGCAAAGTGCCTCCTCAGGCCTGCGAAATTCTGAGTGCTTTCACCTCCCATTAATTTCAGCAATTCTTAGAACTGGACCTTTTTGCTTCTTCCATAGGGTATGTGGCATGTCAATGAGATGTTATGTGGTATTGCTCTAGGTGTATGTCTACACTGCAGAGTTTTTCCAGAAAAACGACCTTCTTTTTGGAAAAACGACACTTATGTCCACACTGCAATTGCATTCTTTTGACGAGAAGTCAAAAGAACACAGGAGTTTTTCCAACAATGTTAACCTATTTCTACGTGGAAGAAGTCTTTTTCCAAAAGACCTTTCGGGAAAAGGTATGTGGACAGGGAAAAGGGTTTTTTCCCGAAAGAAGAGGCCTCCAGGAAAAAGCACAGGTGCCCTGGTAGCCACTCTGTCCATAGTAATCACAGGTTAAATTCGAGATACCATCCAATCAGTGTGGACACTATCTTTCGAAAAAGCAGATTGCTTTTTTGATGCACTTTTGCTGTGTGGATGCTCTCTTCCAAAAGAAGCCTGCAGTCTAGACGTAGCCTGAATAAGATAAGTGGTTTTCCTCAACTGTGTATGTTGCTGGGTTGATTAGGAACATATTGTACATATTATTGGTGTTTATGAGGAGAGAAATTATTTTAACATGAAAGTGTGGAAATTACCACACATTTGGTATTGTAAAAATAATGGAAAGAAATTACAAGAACAGAATTGTTGCTCAATTGTTCATTAAAGTATTGAGAAATGCTGCTTCTCCTCCAGAATGTTGTCATCTGTATTTTAAAGTTAATAATAAATGAACATTTAAAATTGCTTTTATTTCAGCTTTGTGTGTTTCCTTGATGTCACTGTGTGTGTGATGACAAGTCTGCACTGTTCCTGTAATTTTGCTTGCTGGATGGAATGCTCCATAGTGGGGACCATCCATTAGTTAAGCCTTATTTGATAAGATGTGATTTTATTTGACTTTACTTGTTACATTGCATTTAAACTGGTGGTGTCCCTTAAACTAATTACAAGGTAAATCTTCTTAACTGTAAAACCAACGAGGCTGTGGAATAAGCTCCCAAAGAAAACTGTAGAATCTCCCATCACTTGGGACAGTTATACTACACTGGATAAAACACTGGGAAATGTGCAGCAGGAAACAATCTTTTTGCAAGCTTTTTCCATCTTTAACATCTCTGGTCACAGAGATCATTTTAGCAGAAATATTCCACTATTCTGGGATTATTATTTGCTTACATGCTGAATTATCACTGATTTCAGATATTAGAGCCAATTTCATACCTGGCATAAACCTTTGATTTCAGTGGAATCAGAGCAGGGAAGGGATACATTGGGCCTAGTCTATCTCCAGAAGTTCTGTACTTCTCACCTTGTTTCATTCACTTAGCCTCTTGAATCCCTTTCAAAATTATTTTATGTGGATGATTTAGAAACAAAACCAATAATTCAGCAGAATGGCCTCATTTTCCCCTGTGAACTGTCGTGCTTTGACTTGTCTGAAGTTGCTCTACATTTTCAAGGTACTATCCTTGACATGCAGATCTCAAAGTGCTACATTTCTTAGCTAAGAGTACTATGTTAACAGGTACAAGGATGTTTTTTCTAACTTCCATGCTTGCAAATTCACCCTGTGATCTCAAAGTCAAACCTCTCTTTCGCAAATATCAGCTCAGGTGCTGGAATGAGGAGTATTTCAGAAACGGAAATTAGAATAAAATACAGAAAATTATTTTGCTTGAGGCAGACACCCTGCCTTCAAACATTTCAGACAAAACAGTTACAGTTTGGTAAAGTTATAATCAACTGAAAACAGGCTTTTATAATTGGAAGTGTTGAGCTCCTTAATAATAGATAGTGCTAACAGCCTTGCCTATAATAATCCCTCCCTCAGGGATTCTTGCACTCAACAGCCATACTTAGTACTTGAAATGAACTCAACAGAAATGTAATGAAAAACTTTGTATTGCATGTGCCAAGGTATCACTTAATAGCATTGTCACAAGTGGGCTCCAAAAGGCCTTCATTGCACAAACAGTTCACACCTTTTAGAAGTAAATTTAGTACAGGCAGTCCCCGGGTTACGTACAAGATAGGGACTGTAGGTTTGTTCTTAAGTTGAATCTGTATGTAAGTCGGAACTGGCGTCCAGATTCAGCCGCTGCTGAAACTGACCGCCAGTTCTGACTTACATACAGATTCAACTTAAGACCCCCAAGCGTCCCCAAGTCAGCTGCTGCTGAAACTGATCAGCGGCTGATTCCAGGAAGCCTAGGGCAGAGCAACTCTGCCTCGGGCTTCCTGTAGTCAGCACTGGTCAGTTTCAGCAGCGGCTGACTTGGGGACGCCTGGGGCAGAGCAGCTGGGGCGCTGCCGGTTAGTTCTGCAGCGCCGCTCTGGGCACTACTGGACCAACCGGGCAGCCCCCCAGCTGCTCTGCCCCAGGGTCCACAACAAAAGCCTGGTCTGGGGGGGGCACACTAGCTGCGCCCCCTGCCCCCAGCAGACCAGGGACACGGGGAGCAAAGCCGCAGCGGCAGCGGGGTGCCGCGCCTCTGAGGCTTTGCTCTGCTGCGGCTTTGCTCCCGGTGCCCCTGGTCTGCTGGAGCCCGTCTCCAGCAGACCAGGGGCACCGGGAGTGAAGCCGCAGCCGCGGCGGGTTCCCGCGCTTCTGAGGCTTTGCTCTGCTGCGGCTTTGCTCCCGGTGCCCCTGGTCTGCTGGAGCCCGTCTCCAGCAGACCAGGGGCACCGGGAGTGAAGCCGCAGCCGCGGCGGGTTCCCGCGCTTCTGAGGCTTTGCTCTGCTGCGGCTTTGCTCCCGGTGCCCCTGGTCTGCTGGAGCCCGTCTCCAGCAGACCAGGGGCACCGGGAGTGAAGCCGCAGCCGCGGCGGGTTCCCGCGCTTCTGAGGCTTTGCTCTGCTGCGGCTTTGCTCCCGGTGCCCCTGGTCTGCTGGAGCCCGTCTCCAGCAGACCAGGGGCACTGGGAGCAGCTTTTCTCGCCCCGGAGGTCGAGGTGGCGGATCGCTGCCTGTGAGCTCCGGGGCGAGAGAGCCCCGTTCGTAAGTGCGGATCCAACATAAGTCGGATCCGCGTAAGTCGGGGACTGCCTGTACTTGTAAAAGATGTCAGCTTAAGAACCCTGGAGACACAGCTCTATCTTTATAATCAAATAAGATAGGGCATGCACAGTATCAGGGCTAGATTCCTACATGTTCTACGCTCTATGACAGGGCTATTCAACTTTAGAAGCCCTGGGAGCCATAATGATACAGCACATGCGAAGGGCTGCAACTTAAGTATGATTGCATATATATGCAAACATATGCAAATAGCTTCTTTCACACTGATAGGCAAAAATATACAAAGATTAAGGCAAGACTACAAAACACATAGGTCCCATTTAAATCAGTTCTCCTGATATTAATAAAATGCAATATTTACCCGATTTTCACCCATATGATAGCACTTTTAATGAGCAATGACAGTCCACGAATTTAACTACTAAAACGCATATTAAAAAAGACTATTATATTGACTCGCCATTGTGGAGTGTTCCCAGTGAAGGCCATGTTCAAAGGATCCCACCCGCGGGCCACATGTTGAGCCCAAACCCAAACTGCACCGTGGGCCGCAAACAAACAGTCTGCAGGCCTCATTTGACCCATGGGCTGCATGTTGAGTAGCCCTGATATATGAATTCAGCCCTATCCTAAAAAGGCCACGTCTAATGATCTAAATATTGTGGTGATGCTTAGAGCCCTGCACAGATACAAAATGTTGTATTCACATTTGTATCTGCAAAAATGAGCTGTGGATATTCACATCCATGGATGTGGATACCCATGGATATAAAGCAGATATCCACAAATTTGCAGAGTTCTAGTTACAAAATGTGTATCCACGTCTGTATCCACAAAAATGAGTTGCAGATATCTGTGGATTTGCAGGGCTCTGGTGATGGTTGTATTTGAAGTGTATAGAATTCTGAGTTCAGTCTGTCCTTAACCTCTGTGCCTTAGCCTTAGTGCCAAATGTGGTGGTGGTGGTGGTGGTGGTTATACAATATAGAAACTTGTCCTCCAGAAGCTTAATAATATCTTGCATCATCTCATTTAACAAAAGGGGAGTGGGTAGTTATCACTTTCACTCAGTACCAGCCTCTACTAGATTTGATCCAAACACTAAGCGGTGAGAGGTTTTGCATCCCAGCAGTAACTCCACATGAGGCAACCAGTCCCCTTCTTGTTTCCTTAAGCGGCTACATCCTGCAAACTTCGCCCAAAATTTACTAATCGGAGCCAATAGACGTTTCCCCTATTTAAGTCTGGAGTGAGCGCTGCAGGATTTAGCCCTATCTAGGAAAACTCCTTGAGCGACATCACAGTTGTAAAGACAGCAATTTCCGGGCTTAGGAACCGCGCAGCATCAGGGAAGGCTGGAATCGTTGCTGCTTCCTGTATCTGTGAAAACTCCGCTTTCCTCCCCCGAGCAGCCTGCAGGTGGCGGTGGCGGGTTAGCGCTTTCCAGGCTGTCCTACGAACGGCGCCGGGGGGTGGGTTTTTTTTCTGCAGCACTTGTGGCCACGCACTGAAACAGCAGGTGGTGCCAGATTCCACGTGGAAGCGGCTACCCCAGTGTTTGTGTGCGTGTGCGCGGAGATGTGTGTGCGCTGCAGGCTGGAGCTGCGCTCAGCGCTCCACTCCCCGCCTCGCTGTCAGTAGCGCTTGGAACCAGACGTCTGCAGACCGCAGCGCTGTCCCTTCAGCCCCAGCCTCCTGCGCCCAGTCCTGCAAGCTCGGCCCGACTCTCCGAGTGGTTTGCAGTGAGTACAGGGCTGTGCGTGGCTATGGTGGGAGCGGGGTAAGGTTGCTGCGGGTGTGTTTTGTGTGCGGTGTGCAGCGTTCCCGGTGTGCCCGTGTAGCTTCACCACTAACCGCAGACAAAGAGCTGAGCCTGAGTGGCATTGTGCCAGGGTGCCTGTCCCGCTCCGACTTGGGATCAAGCTAAGGGAAGGGGGTGTATGGAAAGAAGGAAACCCATTCTTATATTCAAATTGTATCTTCTTTAAACAATTGCGTACAGGAGAGCAGCGTCCAGCCTGAATAGCAGCCCCATCCTCTGATATATCACAGGAGAAGGGGAAGCATGCCCGTTTCAGCAGCATTCATTTCTATGCACTTTGTATGCTGTGTCTTAACAAGGATTTTCATAGCTCCAGACACCAAAAGGCTAAAACAATAAATGTGATGGAAAAAAAATACTGGACAGCCAAGTTTAGCTCTGGTGTAAGTCCACAGGCACCAGTGGAATCACAACAGGGCATGCATTTAACCCATGTATGAGGGCTTTTTTGCAACATGGTCCTGATTTGCAACAATATTTGCTGTATTAGTGAGATGGTGAGGGGTTTTATTTGGACTCACTTTGGGCCTTTTGAGGAGTTTTTATTTGTTTAATTGTAACTTAAAGTGAAGTTGTCCCTGATCTGATATGCTTTGTCTCTAGCAAGCCAGTAGAAAAGCCCAAATGAACAATGACTGATATGCAGAATTCAACAGAGCAGTGAAAGGCAGAATCCTCTTCTCCATCTTCCATCTCTTTTGCCACCTCCCATCCCCATTCCCTTGTAACATCAGTCGTCTTGATTTGTTTTAGGTCTGGAAAGTGAGTTCCAAGAATGGTGAAGCTGGGGAGTAATTTGAGTGACAAGAACAGCAAACAACCATCCGGTGAAGATGGTTTTCAGACAGTTCCTTTGATCACGCCCTTGGAAGTAAATCACCTTCAGTTCCCAGCTCCGGAAAAGGTAACGCTCCTATCCCCCGCCCCCTCACACACACCCTCAGATAGAGCAACCAGGTCTCTGCTTTTTCACTGACTTGTTTAGTTATTGGTCTCTAGCAGGCATTAAAATGCAATTCTTGTACCTGATCAATGCAACATAATAAAAAAAGGGTTTCCTTTGTTGATAGGTTTTTTTAACTCAACAGACTGACACATGCAAACCAGAAAATGTTCCCTCAGTATTGCAGGTTGGGATAAGGCTTAATATATTTTTTCCTAAAAATGGCATGAACATTAAATGGGAAAAAGCTTAGAATGCACCTTAACAATAAAAGAGATTATGTGAGCAAGTGAGTTTTGCACCTACATTGAGAGGAATGATATGACTCTTGTACAATAAACATATATTGAAGGATATCTAATTTTAATTACTCAAATCGAGATATGTTTTCTGAAGTGTGGCCTTTCAACAGCCATTTGATTTTAATTCAATTTGATTTATCTGAACCGAGCAACTGAATTCCCCTATAGAAAATGTGATAATGGGTCATTCCATGTATCCTTTTCTTCCCCATTGGCTTCTGTGAGGGAGCAGCTTTTTCTCCTAGCCAATCAACATTCACGTAATTTAAGTGCAGCATTAAATGTTCTAAAATCGGCAGTAGTGATTGGGTGGTGTTTTTTAATGGTATTGTATGTACTATGAAATTATTTTGTCTCTTTATGTACAGTGATGATACATGTAACAAGACAATAATGTGTGATACCATTAGGACAGTTCACAATCAGATCAGATGTCCAAGAGATTTTACTGTCATTGCTCCTTATGAAAAACAAAGGCTTGATGCATTGTGGTACTTAGATACCTCAGTGAAAAATGCCATGCTGATACAAAAGACAAAGTGAAGGGTTAAATCTCATGGGATAATGATAACAGCAACATTAACAGAGATAATGGCTGAATTATGGTGGTAATAAAAATATATAAAAAGCACAGACACCATGGTGATGGATGTAGGAAAACTATCTAGAATAAAAGAGAATACATACCAGTGTGTGTGTGTATTAATTCTTTATATATAGAAAATACAAAACTGTGTATATATCTATAATATGCACACATATGTACTTATATTTGTGTGTTTATATATATATATAAAATTACATACATATAAAGATATTATTTATAGAAAATAAAGACACATATATATCTATATCTGAATCTATATCTGTGCCCATCAGAACTAAATTAATTGACATGCATTGGCAGAAACCATTATCCCATGTCAAATCATGGGAAAATGAGTTTGAATCTTTTTCCATTTGCATCGGTATCAGTGCACCAGTGTCAATTAAAAGTAACATAATTGCAGTCAACAGTGACACTGGTCTGAACTGGTGTAAATGAGAGATAAACCATCTCTTTATCTCTAGTTCTGATAATGAAGGCTGGAAATTAATAAAATGCACTAAAACTATCATGATTTATCAAAAATGTTCTGAGAGGCTCTAGGGGAAATCACGGATGCATAGGAGCAACTCGTTTTGATGCTACCACAATGCAGTCAGGTTCAAGCACTAGCTGCCATACAGTGTGGGGTTTAAATCACTTAGGTATTGTCTGTCATCTGTAAAATTTAAATACAACATTACAACTGATGGATTGATAATGAAACTGATGATTATCATATTGCAGTTATCTGTTGGTGAAAAGCCATTGTAATGTATTGATCTAAATGGATTCCCAGACAATCTTTCTATTTAAATGAATGTGTCAATAATTTATATTCATCTGCATGCACATGTAGTTACTGCACTTGTTAGTTGTGGCACATTCCCATGGCCATATCCTTGTCTGAGGGCCAAAGGACAAAGTCCTTGATCCAAAGCCCATAGAAATCAATACTATTGATTTCTGTGGCCCTTGAGTCAGCTCTTAGGTGTATTAGAGCAGGAGTTAACCGTACAGAAAGTCTGTTATTAAAAAGGAGAGGATTTTTTATAAGAATCGCCAACAATCCTTGTTAATTTATTATTTATAGGATAAATTCTGAAGGATGAAAGTCATCCCATGGCAGAGGGTCTGTGTAAGGCCCTATTAATAAGCTGAACCTAAGGAAAAGACTAACGCGAGTGGGGGTTAAGTGGTAAGGGGGAATTTCATCTTACTCAGTGTTTGTACAAGCAAAACTCTTACTGACTTCAGAGAAACTTTGAGCCTAAGAAAGGACCTTGGCCTACATTTACGTTTGGATTTTTTCTGAAGTCAGGGAGCAGGAGTTTTTTCTATTTTATTTTTAAAGGAATTTTACTTTCTGTCTGTCCTTGACACAGTTCTGACTGCTGTGGATTATGGTTTCTGAGAGTGAAAAATTGAGCCAAGCTGACTTTTTATGCCTCTTAAATCAGTGGTCAAAGGGTGAACACTCATTTGTGATAGAGGGTTGTCATGGCTCTCCTCTTCTTAAATCCAAACCAGTTGCTGCATATTTTTAACCACAAGGAAGCAGTGTTCTAGTTATCTGCCTTCCTATGTTTGCCCATCATTGCCATTAATTACAGCTCTGTTGCCAATGTAACAGAGAAGAATATGTTTTGGCATCTTTCCTTTAAATAAAGTCCTGAAAAATCTCTTTCATTAATAAGCTCACCTGCTGAAAGCTCTCCCTCTTGAGCATACCTAGGGTATTATAACTATTCTTCTGTAAGGCACCACACGTTCTAAGGCTAGGCGTGAACTCAGGTTCTTGTGCACAGCTTGCAGGAAATTGAGGCTAATTTCTAAGCTGATGAGGGGATTTGGGCACCTAGTCCTTCAAATCAAAACTGAATGTCTTTCTGGAAGACTGCATTAGCTAAACACAAATTATTGGGCTCAATACAGGGCTAACTAAATGAAATTCTATGGCCTGTGTGACATTGGATATTATAAGAATGTTAAGAACGTAAGAACGGCTATACTGGGTCAGACCAAAGGTCCATCGAGCCCAGTATTTGATCTTCCAACATTGGCCAATGCTCGATATCCAAGAGAGTGAATGAACAGAACATGTAATCATCATGTGGTATCTCTCTTGTCATCCATTTTCAGCCTCTGACAAACAAAAGCCAGGGACCAATCCCTATCTATCCTGCCTAATAGCCATTGATGGGCCTAACCTCCATGAATTTTTCTAGTTCTTTTTTGAGCCCTGTTAAAGTCCTGGACTTCACAACATCTTCTGGCAAGGAGTTCCACAAGTTGGCTGTGCGCTGCATGAAGAATAACTTCCATTTGTTGGTTTTAAACATACAAACTATTAATTTCATTTGGTGACCTCTAGTTCTGCTGTTATGGAACAAGTAAATAATTTTTTCCTTAGTGACTTTTTCCACACTAATCATTAACCTCTATCATATCCCCCCCTTAGTCTCAACCTTAGTCTCCTCTTTTCTAAACTGAATAGTTCCAGTCTTTTTAATCTCTTCATGAGACCTGTTCCAAACTCCTAATCATTTCTGTTGCCTTTTTCTGAACCTTTTCCAATGCCAATATATGTTTTTTAAGAGGAGGTGATCACATATGTAAACATTATTCAAGATGTGGGAGTACAATGTTTTATATAGAGGCAATAAGATATTCTCTGTCTTATTCTCTATCCCTTTTTAAATTATTCCTAACATTCCGTTTGCTTTTTTTGATGGCCGCTACACATTGAGTGGAAGTTTTCAGAGAACTATCCACAATGACTCCAAGATCTCTCTTGAGTAGTTGTAGCTAAATTAGTCCCCAACACAGTGTATGTATAGTTGGGATTATTTTTTCCAATGTGCCTTACTTTATATTTATCAACATTAAATTTCATTTGCCATTTTGTTGCCCAATCACTTAGTTTGGTGAGATCTTTTTGAAGCTCTTCACAGTCTGCTTTGGTTTTAATTATCTTGAGCCGTTTTGCATCATCTGCAAATTTGCCACCTCACCATTTACCCCTTTCTCCAGATCATTTATAAATAGGTTGAATAGGATTGGTCCAAGTGTGGATCCTTGGAGGACATCACTAGTTGCTTCTCTCTATTCTGAAAACTGGCCATTTATTCCTACCCTTTGTTTCCTATCTTTTAACTAATTATCAATCCATGAGGGCACCTTCCATCTTATCACATGACGACTATTTACTTAAGAGCATTTGGTGAAGGACCTCGTCAAAGACTTTCTGGAAATTTAAGTACACTATATCCACTGGACCCCCCTTGTCCACAAGTTTGTTGACCCCCTCAGAAAACTCTAGTAGATTAGTAAGACATGATTTCTCTTTGGTTGACTTTTCCTCAACAAATTATGTTCATTTACGTGTCTCACAATTTTATTCTCTACTATAGTTTCAACTAATTTGGCAAGTCTAAGGTCAATACTGGACAGTCTGTGATTGCCAGGATCACCTCTAGAGCCCTTTTTAAATATTGACATCACATTAGCTATCTTCCAGTCATTAGGTACAGAAGCTCATTTAAAACCACAGTTAATAATTTTGCAATTTCACATGTGAGTTCTTTAAGAACTCTTGGGTGAATGTCATCTGGTCCTGGTGACTTGTTACTGTTAATTTTATCAATTTGTTCCAAAACCTCCTCTAATGGTATCTCAGTCTGGGAAAATTCCTCAGATTTGTCACCTAAAAAGAATGGCTCAAGTTTGGGAATCTCCTTAACATCCTCAGCCATGAAGACCAATGCAGAGAATTAGTTTGGTTTCTTGGCAATGACTTTATCGTCCTTGAATGCTCCTTTAGCATCTTGATTATCCAGTGGCCCCACTGGTTGTTTAGCATGTGTCCTGCTTCTTCTGTAGTTAAAAATATTTTGCTATTACTTTTTGAATTTTTGGCTAGCTGTACTTCAAACTGCTTTTTGGCTTTTCCTATATTTTTACACTTTATTTGACAGAGTTTATGCTCCTTTCTATTTTCCTCATTAGATTTTAACTTCCACTTTTTAAATAATGTCTGTTTATCTCTCACTTCTTCTTTTACTTGTCTTTTA